AAAAAAAAAACAACATCAGTAGTAATTTATATCTATTGCACCAGACTTCATATATGATACGCCCCTTCTGGACTTTCCAACCCTGGACCCTCTATCATGACCAAGCTGCAACCTCAGCCAGGGGTGTGTGGGTGCTGCTCCAGGTTCTAATCTGCAGTGCAGGTCCCAAAGGCAAGGATCATTGAGCTAATTAATAACATGGCACAGAGAGGAATGGCAGTCATTAAGGAGCCACTGCTGTGTGTGCTAAGATGCTGTGGGCTTCTGCATAAGGCTAGTACACTGTATTGTGTGCGTGTGCAGTGGGCAGACAGCGAGAGGCGGGTGGGTGGTTGGGCGGGAGAACTTACTCTGGCATGCAACCTATTGGGTCATTATTCATAGAGGCCAAACAAGCACTCGCTCCCTGTATTTTGCCAGGTACACGTGCAAATACACAGATGCTATATTGCAGCTTTTATAACTATTAGAAGTTTAAAGGGTTACAACAGAACAGCTTTCTGTGGGTCTTTCATAGTGCAACAGTAGGTTTTGCATCAATGAATGGAAACAGTCTTCAGCAGCAGAGCAGCATGTCAGTCCCCGTTTGAAGACATGTGTTAGGAGGCACTGTATGGCCAATATTTACAATAAGCTAAGGGGGGCCGCAGACTAAAAGCCCTTAGTTGTATAAGGCAGCACAATAGCTCAGCCTGGGCTAATGAAAGGAAACAACAGGAGTAATTAGCAGTGTAAACAAACAGCTCGCAGAGGCTCCAGTCTCCAGCCTCCCTCTGACAGCACAGGGACTGGCAGCCTGGAGAACGAAGTAATTGGGGGAGCTGGGAGCTGAAATAAAATCAATGGAGATGCATACACATACACTGTGTGATTACTCAAAAGCCTTACTCACAACTCAAGGGATTCACACATACAGTAATAGGTGTAGGAGAAGGTATAATTCTAGGGAGGCTACCTTCCAGCTCACTTAGAGCAAGTCCTTCGGCTTAAGATGCTGACTGTCCTGAGTAAAAGCATTGCACACGCCATACAGGGCCTAACGAGCAGCCCCTCTGTCTAATTGATCCTATCGTGGTGCCATTTATGTGTCTGCCAGTCCACTAATGTCTCTGCTTCACTCACTTATTAGGAAGTATCAGCATCTCCAGTACGACCATGTGGCTGCAGCAGCAGACAGGCCAGAAGAAGTTGGTCCATGTCTGGTGCCTCGCTGGTTGGAGCCACAGAGAGCAGCACTAATGCTGATGGGACTTCCTCTCAGGGCAACGTTAGTGGGGTGTAGTGGTGGGGGCACTGCACGGTGAACACAGTCAGTGATACTCCAAAGTTTCACAACAGTCCTGTTTGTCTTTTTGGAACATACTACTCCAACACAAATGGCTTAGAAAAACATAATGGTTGAAAGACAAATGCAAAGTATAATAATTTGCATTACAGGTTCAACAGATGGAAGTTGTAGTTTTAAGCTCAATAAAATAGTTTAGCCATCAAATGTAACATTTGTAAGTCGGTTTGATTAACTCTCTCCATTAAATGATACACCTGACATTAGGTCAAGATAGGATGTGCAAGCACATAGTTATAACTATCACAGTAAATATGAATAATTTCAAATTTTTGTCTTTGGTTAACTGATGCATAACTGCAACTAGGATAAGTCTTTCAGGTGATAATGATGTGATAATAACAGTTGGTCTGAATAAGTTTTAAACCATTCAATATTGCACAAGTCAAGATGAAGATTAATCAAATACTTGATAAATGATACAATGGATGGATATGGCCTCCATTAGGCCTCATTATGGCATATTCTGCAATGCCATCAGGTTGGCTCAGCGTAGATTATGGACCATTTTTATCACCAAAGAGGAGATAGACAGATCTTATCTTTTCATTGTTTGGCGAAGAGAAGCTGTAAGAAAGATAGATATGGCATGTTAAGACATACCAAACTGTCATGATTCCTAACAACTTCCCCTATAATGAAACGCAGAATAGCCAGTTTAAATCGTTGATGTTACAGCCTTACATCTCAGTGACAAAGCTGCCAGTCAACAGTAAATACACCCTGTGTTTGGACTAGAGTGGAATGGATATACTATATTTTTTGTGTTGACAATATTCAGACAATTTTATTAGAAGCTGTTTGAGATACACATTTGTCTCGTGGTAGGAGGTCCACGTTGTTATCCACAAAGAAATGGCAGAAATGTACCTTTGTATTACTTATCTTAAAAAAAAACAACAACTTTGTGGCATACTAACAAATACTAATGGCATACTAATTTTGATTCAAAAGTCAAAATCAATAATAATAATAAAAAATAATGTATTTATTTGGCCATTAGTCAATATGACAAGAAAAAAAACAGAAAGTGCAAAAAGACAATTTAGCTGAAAGGGTAAGGCTGGAGCTTGATATCATCCATTTAATGAACATCATCCTTGTACTTAATCTGTAATACCATAATTGTTGTGTTAGCGAATTGGGATACGTTTTATATGTTATAAAAAATACTCGAAGTGGAAAAAGTGGAAAAACAGTGTAAAACTAAGAATGATTGTTTTTCCCCTTTTAACAGCGAGTGACATACTCTTGAGATACTGAGTTAATTAACCCCATGTTGAGCATTAAAGAAAATGTAGTTCCTTGATAAAAAAAAAACATTGAAATTACTAATAAACCATCTTCCATGAGCGTTATTTAATCAGCGCTGCAAAGTAAAGTTTACATTTTCATTGTCATTCATGTTTAAGAATGACCCATGCCATTCCCCCTTAACTCTTCCAATAACATATTAATCTTGTGTCTGTTTCGTATTGGAGTGTGTCACTATGGCACACACTTCAGCCATGCATTCGTCATGGAGCCCTGCCCTGTCGATAGTGGCTCGCCTGTGCTGCCCTTATAATGAATCTGAAGAGCTGCACACCTATAGCAAAGTCATTTACTTTATCAAGCTGATAATAGAGGCGATAAGATAGTGGCTTTGCTCTGTAGCAGCCTCTCTCTGCATTCATCTCACCAAGATCTACAATGGCAAACCCCATTCCTCTCCACAAAAGTCTTATCAGTTAAATTTGATATGAATTTCAAATGAATGTGCACATTTCATATAATCTATAGTTGTTTATAGCTATAACTTGGGTCTATTGTTCTGAAAGAGTTCACTTCACTCACTGTAAACACACTGGTCATTTGATTTGCTCTTCTTGCTGCTTCAGGCCGTTTGACATTGCAACCCATATATGTACATAGCTCCCCCTATTGGTCAAATTTGGGACCACGAAAATGAGGCTCTGAAAAGGTCCCAATTCACTCTGAAACCATATGTATTAAAGCAAGCGTCACAGACCAAAGTGTGTGGTTAGGACTAAAACATGCTATAACATGCTGAAATATATTATGCCAAAATAATATCTACTATATATATTCAAAGACATATTACATTTCCGTATGGGTTTTGCTCATTTAAAGAGCTACCCAGCCATGTTCAGGCTGATATAAATACTTGAATGGAAAATGCAGAATACCTGAGTAACAAATGGTTTTTGATGATTAAACTTATGTGATATAAAACCGTCACAGCATTCTTGTTATTTGCTTTAGAATTTCTTTTTTTTTTCTCCAAAATATGATCATACACAAAAATCATTTAAATGGTTGACAGGCATGAACTGCAACTCTAAAATACAGCAACATTTAGGAATAATTATCTATTGAAGTAATTTACTCAGCTCTCTACAGCTCAAAATATTTCGCATTACAAAAGCAAAAGACATAATTTATCCTATTGAGTCCACCGTACCGCCCATCATTCATTTAACTTTATAGTATTTTGTGTACATTTTTATTATACTTAAGGGGAGGGGGTATATCTGACAGAGCGCACTTGAGGCTCTTGAGATAAGGTCCCCATGCAGCTCAAGTGCTCAGTGTGACGAGGCGCAGGAATGCAGCGAAAAACTCACTCTGTAATCACATGGAGCCGAACAAGTCCAAGCTCCTGAACAAGACCGGGTGTCACAAGAAGACGTGAAAATTGTACATCAATTCATCAAGATTCATCATTAAAACTGTCAAACATCAAAGTCTTCGTGATCACAGCTCATTCTTAAGAGAGGCACCAATGGCCTCATTTATCATATTTGTTTGAGTAAAACGTGACAGAGTGAAAGGAGAGGAAGACATGTGTTCGCAAGAAAAAAGTTGAAAGCAAAGTATTTGTATATTTAGGCAAATGAGCATCACAAATCAAAACAAAATAATAAAAATGGAAAAGGGGTTGTCAAGAGAAAAAAGAAAGATTAAATATATGCCCAATGTCAGACAAGCGATAATTAACAAGTAGCAGTTTCTAACGCCTCTGTTTTCATCAGGAAGCCACCTGGACTGAGTCAGATGCCCCAGGCCTCCACGCACACACCTGCGTGCTGGGAGAGTGAACTACGAAACCATCTTCCTTCGTCTATGATTATTTGTTATCTGCAGCAAGGCTCTGCTCACCTTTGCATGACCTCCCCAGTCTTTCAAAACTCTCACTTCATTTTAAATTTATTAGCGTTTATCATTTTATCAACGGGGGAACATTTCAGAGAGCGAGTGTCTAGCTCATTTCTATCCAAATAATGCTTGTAAGAGGACATCTTTAAACCTAATGTGACTCCTGATCAAATGGTTTTTATATTTCCCCAGGCTCTTGTATTCTCCAAATTGCATCAATAAATAACTTGTAAGTCTAATTATGCAGCAATTAATTGCAGCTAACATGGAATGGCCATCAATCTTGGGAAAAAAATCTCCAGAAACTGCCTGTCAGGCCAGATACAAAATCTGATTAGATTTTACAGGCTTGTTTGAGATTATGCATGTGTGTGCATGCCAGCTTGACATTTGTGACCACGTTATGTACAGGCATGCTCTGTGCCCACCGGGGGTCCGGCCTGATCTCTACCATTGGATCTCTGCATTTTGCTCTCTGCAGATCTAGCCAGTTGCTATGGTAGCAGCATTGAAGCCTGTCTCCATGGCCAAAGGAGCGAGGAAGCTGGCATCCCCCAATAACAGAGCTCCTTCCCCTGCTCTGTCCCCCAGCCAGGCTCCTGACCTGCTGCTGAACTTTTCTGAGGGCGCAGGTCAATGGCTACGAGCTGCCGAGTGACAGTGAGGGATGACGAGGCCGAGAATGAGAGAGAGGAGTTACACCATACAGATGGGAGGAGAGATGAGAAAATGAAAAGATGAGACAAAATTTGATTACTATCAAGAGGTCTACACTGGTGGTGGGGGCGGGGTGGCAAATGCACATGTTAGAAAATGGATGCGGTTTAGAGTGGCGTCTTTAAAATGGAGGTGGCGGCGTAGGAACCGTGTTTTCCCTGTCTGAACATTTTGCCGTTGTGTTGTTTATTTGGGTGTATGCTGGGGAGACAAGGTGGTGAAAGGGGTGAAAGGATGTCACCGGATCAATTATTAATTACTTCCTTTCTGCGGTTATTGATTCGGTGCATGTGTTGGAGCCACAGGAGAATGTTTCTCTTCTCTGTAGGTGAAGGCAGAGAAGTAAAAGTAAAGACGCATGTGAGAACATACTCCTCTATAGTTTTGTAATAAGTCCAAATGGTTGTCATGGTAAAGGTTGTGTGGAGGTCAAGGGAGTTGGCCTCTGAAAATTGAGTTTCAGACATTCAACAGTTCAAAGGTTGTTCACCTTTAATATGATGTGATAAGTTTAATACAAGGGTTCATTTTACTCCTTTAGTCTGAAATAACTTCACTATAAAAGGACAGTGAGATGGGAGATATTGGTCCACTGGGGGACTCACACGAGACAAACTTTTTGTTAGTTATATGAACAGTTCTGTATTTAAAACCCGCATCTATGAAACATTCCTTTGAGAGGAATTACTGAACAATTTGAATTATTTGTTTTGATTTTTAGCAAGATTTGGAATTTCTGTTCAACTTCAGAGAAAGAAATGAAAGAATGTATGAAATCCCATACTTGGTAACTGAGTGGTGAATAATACACTTGTCTTAGAAATATGATGTTAAACTTGACAGAATGTTTTCTATTGATGCACAAAATATCTTTCTTTATCATAAGCTTCAAACTATTATCATCAACTTTGCAACCCTTACAAACCGGAAATGCCTCTTTATAGCCAGAGAAAAGGTGTGTTGATACAGTCCATGTATCAACAAAATATCTCGATAACATTAGTCTACCCCCTAGTGGTTATTATTCGTAACTGCAGTCTGGCAGTGGTGAGCTGAAGTCAACATCAGATCAAACAATCCCTTTTGCTCACACACCATGTTCCTTATAGTAGCCGTATATTACATACATAATAGATCATAGTAAATCTGTTGGCTGCAAAGGTCAACTGTATTATTTGCCTTTTCACTGGTCAGTCCAGGAGTGTCGGTGAAGGCTGTCACGCACAGACTAACATAGTAGCCCAAAAAGGAGTAGTTGCACGCTCCTATAGATACACATGCTGGAGGCACTATGCAGACACTTCACGCTGTACCTCTCACTGCAGCATTCTTCTTCTGCGTGTTCTCCAGATGTCGTGTCCTCTTCGTCACCCCGTTTCCTCCGTGCAGTTCCCCCGCCCAGAGACTTGTGACAGCCCCTAACCGCATCAGGAGCACTGCTAGATTGGATATACATGATCTGTCCATCCATCAATACAGAGAGGGAGAGAAGGAGAAAAGAGGAATGGGAGTCTATCTGCAACCAGTGCAATAGAGACATGGTGAAGTCTCATTTGCAAGCTCCAATACCGCATGGCCAAGACAAACATGTACAGAAATGACATACAGCACATTTATAATCATGGAGCAAACATTTCAACAACAATTACAGTTCTACACTAAGAAAAACCCGTGCCATGCCATACACATTTTGTAGTCAGTGGAAAGCTACAATGCACATATTTCTAATACCCAAATAAAGGGTCATTTGTGTTATTTGTGTCTTCTCAGTACTATAATGGCATTGGATAGGTGCGTGTCTTCAGTTTGAATCTTATTTGTATTTTAAGATATTTTTTGGTCCGTCAATATCTGTCGCTCTTTGAAGGTTAGTGGGTAAGCCGTGAATCACAGGCATCCCATTCTGTAAACCGAATGAGCTGGAACATGTGTTATGGTGGTGCAAAAATGTGTTACACCAACATCATTCTCTGTGCACACCTGGGCAGATATATGGTTTGACTTATATTGTATTGTAATTCATAAACAATATTATATCTGAAAATGAAATGAATTTGACAACAAATACAATTTAAAAGTAAAAAGTTATTTACTTCATATTCCTTTTAAATGACAAATCTTTGATTTAATCTTGTTGCACTTCAGCTCATAGTTCAAGACATTCACTGTCAAAGCAGTGTTTGATGTTGAATATACAGTACGGAAAGAGTTCAATGTGAGGTTGCCCTAACACTCCATCGTTTTATCTCTTGATATCCATCTATGTCTGCTCCTCTATCTTTTCCATACATTTCCAGGTGATGCGGTATCAGCAGCACATCTGTTTGTCTCGTCCTCCCTCCGTCTCCATCTCACTCTCCTCGTTCTTGTGCTGTTTTCCCTCCCACTGTTACCTCTGCCTTTTCCTATCATTCCTTCCATTTTCATAGACACCCCTCTCCGCAGCCTCCCACCCCACACTCTCCCCCTCTATCCGCATCTTACCTTCTCTCTGTCCCCTCTTTTCTCTCTCACTCCCGCTCTCTCTGCTCGGCTCTGATGAATTGCCTTCCCCTCCCGGTGAACTCGACCGATAATCCTGGGGAAGCAGTAAAAGACCATCGATCAGCCCTGCAGACAGCCCCACAAGCCACAGCACAGGAACAACACGCTAACAACAAGCCTATGCACTTGGCTCTCAGTCTATGTCTATATGCTTATGTATGCATAGGCATGCATGTATTTTCATAAGTGCAACTTGTGCTCATGTGCATACTTAAGATATCTTATAACGCATTTATAGGCAGGTGGCAACTAGGGATGCAGTATTCCCCTAACTTAGGTTCGGTCCGCATTATTTGGTTCTGTCACTGCTTGTTTCGTGTGCTACGTCGAGCAGCATTTGTCACCAGCATGTTTAGCATACACTAAATAGTTCCCACTGTGCACATCCAGCCTCCTCACAAGATCTGTCCCCTGCTGTGTAGACTCCACTTGCATTCATGCATACAGATAACTTAAATGTTGTGTGTGCTGGTACATACGAGTCACTGGTGGCTGTCTCTGGAGCGAGCATGCCTGTCAAGCTGCCTGTATATTATTTGTATATGTATGCAGCCCACAGAGAGGTGATAAATCTTGTGGACTCTCCAGGCTCTAAGAGATTCTTGGACAAATCCTGATGGCTATGAACATGATCAATTCATTGATTTGTATTATTAATCTTTCACTACTGTGTGTGACTATGGATTGCAGAAATCATTCTTTTGCAGGTGCAGACTACAACCTGTTTAATTATGTGTCCTTTAGCGTTAGCTTAAAGCAATAGGTATGACATCAAATGGTAAATTAGGAAGCATTCATTCATAGCAGTACTCTGTTCATCATTGTTCTACCACTGGGTTTCAAAATAAAATTTAAAAAACAAGCACAAAGCAGCCAGTGGTCATTATTCTGTCACACAAATATTAAACACATGGAGGAGGGGTTGTATTAATTCCAAATATGTCCATTATGCAATTACACTATGCTACACACCAATGTGAGGACCAGAAAAAAGTCAGAAAATAAATTGTGAAATTGACAGCCACAGCTAGTGAACTGATTCTCATTGAGGGACTAACATACATGGGCTACTTTATCTCCCTTCAGGAGCTGCTGCTGAGCTGCCCTTCAGTGCCTTTGTCTCTGCTGTCTTTGTTCCTAATGTACTGCTAAGGCAGACTTCATTAAGCCCTGTGTGCCGCAAACGCATTTATGTCCTATTTTCATTTTTCCTATTTCATTCTGCTGCGATACACCAAGCACTACCATCAAAGCGGAAAATAAAGCCTTTCAGGCTTAGAGCTAAGAGCTCTTTGTGACTGAGGTGCCACCTTGTGGATTCTGCAATGCACTGCAGCAACAGCATGTGGAAATGGGACCCAACTGATGGACTATAGTTTTTAGTTCCTGTTAGAGCTGAAGCCTACAATTGCATGTGCAGTAGGACTGACAGTGCAGGGCCTGATCAGACAGCATCAGCCCACAAAGCCCAGAGACACCTGCAGCAGGTATGTGAGGCATGTCACAGGTATGAGGGGGCGGGCCCAGCGCAGTGCCAACAATGCCTGAGAAATGACTTAATGTGAGGGTGTGAGAGGGTGCGTGTGTCCCTGTGTGTTTTCCAGAGAGTGAAACGCCACTATGGACATTGACAGATCGCAGGGGAATGTTCAATTGCAGGTTGTTACGTCTTGCTGTCATTGGGATCATCTGTCACGGGGCAAGGCAAGCTGGGAGGCAGGAGGAGGCAGAGTCAGGGGCGTCACTGCTCCCTCAGATCAAGATCACACAGGGCTCTGCCAAGGAGGCTGCTGGCCCCGTCTTGTGCCTGTGGTCCAAAGGAATTCTCAACGCTTTCTAAATGAAAAGATTTCAATTTAACTTTCAGTTTGCATTTTAATATGGATAAAGTTGAATATTTTTAAATGACAGGAATCTGAGACTGAAAAAACTATTAGACAAAACAATTGTATTTTTATGTGTAAAGTGTATATACATAAGATTGAGTATATTGACATGACTAATTAGTGGAGAGAGGATATGGCCACTGTGCATTATAATATTCAAAACATTACACATTGAACGAATACATCATTTAGGAACCTATAACCAAAGTTACACTAAGTAACATCTAAACCATGTGTTCCAGGGTCTTAAGCTACAGAAAGAGGACATGTGGCTGAACACTGAATGAGATCATTCTGATTGGATGTTAAACTTGAGAAATGTAAACAAACAATAAGGCCACTGTATTTCAAATGAAGAATAAATCAACATATTGGGCCATATTGGGGTTGAACTTGTGTCTGAGGAAACAACCTGTAGTTTGTGAGTTAACAGTATCTCACTCCTCATTCTAAGTGGCTCCCTAAATAGAAATTAAAATATATAATTCACACATCTATAACTATTGCACTAATGATAGGATAATAGTTATATGGCCATAAAACTGAATCTCATATAAAACTCTCATTATATCGACTCAAATCATTTCAACCACTTAAGATCTTGTACCAGAAAAGTGAAATTGATTGTGTAATTTGAAAAGGAAAAAACATTTTTGGGGACAGCAAAAACAACATATCTGTAAAACACATCAACAAATAAAATAAGAAATATATTCATTTAATTTCATTTAGAGTTATGATAAACGCTTTACATGTTTTATTTAATAAAATTAAACGTTGTAACTGACATTCACGTAAAAAGTGAAAATATCCTAGACTACATGCAACTTATTCTATTCAGATTGATCATTGTGAAAAAATGTATATAATATCGGCTTGAAAGTTTCTGTCAAAAAGAATCCATTACTTCTGGATTTCTAACGTTGTAAAAAGTAAACAACCAACATTGTAAATGTTTAAATGTTGGATTTTAAGAAACTATTTGTGGCACTTTGGTTAACTTTGTGCATAGGCGGTACTAATATTGTTTCCACAGCATTAATTAACTGGGTTTAAATAAGGAAAAGTTATTTTCTTTTGCGTTTGGGAGCATCTGAAATGGATGAGAATGCTTATAATTTAGCTTCCACTAGGAACAAACCAAACCGTAGAGAGAAATGATCACCAGGTTATTAATATATACATAATAGTGATGTTTTTTAATGTTTTAATCAATATCAGTATTTTAGGCAGAAGAGATTATTCAACCGCCAATCATTAATTAATGAAACATAAGTTCAACAATACGTTTAATTTAATACGTTTTAGGGGAAACCGGAGGAGATCTACGCAGACACGAGGAGAACATGCAAACTCCACACAGAAAGGCCCTGTGCTAATACATTAATTGAATCGTAATGAATTGAGATCGCACTGTATGTACCAAACCATGTCAGCAAACAATAAAAGATACCCAGCCTGAATAATGATTAGACATTTATTCAGCCCAAACTTTAATAAATCTCAGATTCTACATTCTGTTTAAACTGTGTGATAGCGTAACATTAACATTATTGTTCATGTGTGAAGACAAGTCGATCAATACAGACATGTTGGACTCACCGAAACCCTTTGTTAGACTACATATGACTTTTTTATCATCTAGAAACAAAGCAATTATTTTTTCACTTTTGTCACATATGAATAAAGACGTCCAATTGATGATAACCAAATGTTTATAATCAAGAGGTCAGCATTCAATCCAATAGAACCAAGTTATTTGGAGGAGATCAAAGAAGGACAATTATTCTTTGTGCTATGATAAGTAAAGTACAAGGTCTTGAGAAGGTGTTCATACAGCAAGTCAGCATTTTCAGAACAAACCAAACTTTGACTGGAGAGTGGCTCAGTCACTCTCCAGTCCAATCCTAGAGAAAATCTGCTCACAATTGCTCCCTATCAAATCTGACAGAGCTTGAGTTGTTATGTTATTTTTTACTGCAAATGGCAAATAAACTGAATCGGAGTTGTTATGTAATGACAAATGGGCAAAACTTACAGTCTTTAATGTGCGATGCTTTTAGAGTCATACCCAAAACACTTCTAGTTGGTATCTAATTTAAGGTAAAGTATTCTCGCAGTATTCAGATAGGCTGAAAAATGTTGTGAACTGCAGTTACACTGTACTATCTAAATTACAAGTTTGTTTCGTCTTCATTCTTCCAGCTATTAATCTAAGGAGTCTGCTTTGGCGCCCTCTACAGTCTCTACAGAGTTGAACAGTGTTTTTATGAGAAGACACAACACGAAGGCCAATTATAGTCCAGCAGTCATCTGTCTGTCAACCACCTGACAAGAACATAGCACTACAAAATATATGGATGCCTAATCAATCACTGCTTCCCATTATAACAGACCGGCCTTGTCTGAGTAATTAGTAGTACCATACATAAGTATCTCATCGTCCCAAAATACAGATAGATCACTATACATTTGATTTTCAGTCACTTTTGTCCAAGCCCACACACTCAAATAGCCAAATGTTCCTGAAAATTATATGCATAAAACTGATTTAGAAGAGACAGCCCAGAGATCGATCATGCAACTGAATCGTTTAATGTTTAAGGAAGGGCTGTGATTTGTGGATTGTTGAAACAGAGTTCACGTTCCACATTCAAAGATTAAAAAGAGTATCTTGTATTTTCAAAGCGCACAGTAACATCCCTGTACCCCTCACAGCGGTCCCACCCTTAGCTTCATTGCTATTGCAGATGCTTTATGACGGGCAATTTAGCTTCAGGTGCTATCTCAGCCATCTCAAGAATGGACGCGCTTAAAATCAAGTGCAATAAACCAGACAGCGAGGTGCAGAGAAAGAAGGAAGGGGGCAGCGAGAAAAAAGGACAAGACAAGGAACTCCTCTGGACAAAAGGTCCGGGGGCTGGGTGTCCTGCAATGGACACACAAAAACATGTGCTGTCCCAGGAATTTGGCTAGACACACACCTAGTTCTGTCTCAGCTTTCCAAACAAGGCCAAGAATGAATCTAAGTAATTGTTTCCCCGTCTGTCAGACTTCACACATAATTCTGACAAAGGTTGGACATCAGCCATTTTAATAAGATCATTGTATTGGTCTTATACTAATAACAAGCACCTTGATAATTGCTTTCACAAATTAATTTCAGCACTTAGATCTTTATCTTATACAGCTCGGTGTGAATGATCGTATTTCTAAATTGAGCACTTTGTACACTTCACTTTATGGTTAACTTATTTGATTTCTGAACATTTCTTGACTAAAGCATACAAATAATGTAATAGAATAACAATTAATCAATCTCATTTTCAATTTGAGATAGGTCGACTATTCTTATTATCAGAGCAGAGAATGATCGCAATCGAATCAGAAGTTCCGTGGTCACAATTAGCCAATTGCAAAGATGGCAATTATTAAAAATTTTTGCAATTTCTAAGAAAAAGAAAACACTTACATTTGGTAATATTTCAATTGAACAAGCAAGTATCTTTCTTATTCTTATTGGACACTATTTTCTCATTCCAGATAATACGACTTTTGCATAACTTAAATAAACTGGAACTATCACAATGTGTTGAGAAAAGATACAAATTATAGGTTTCAATTGTTGATAAATATTCAACTTTCTTGTTGTGAATCTTTATTTCTTCTAGAATAAACAGTAGTACTATAGGTTAGGTAAGTAATGTTTATATATATGTTCAGAGTTCAGATATTGTTCCAATCTCTCCACACGGTGATGACAAAAGCAACACCATCCATTCAATCTCTCATTTACATACAGACCTATGTTTTTAGTGGTAGGGGAAACCGGAGCACCCGGAGAAAACCTACGCAGACACGGGGAGAACATTCAAACTCGGGTAACCACTTCATATGTACTCTCTTTCTGATATAGCTCTATTGACTTAAACTAAACACATTTGGACTTTTTAATCATACAGAATATTGAAAAGCAATGTTGGTCAGATATAAACATAAATGTGCAGCCCAAGTGTATTGTATGGACCCCATCATTTAGCACTTTAAACACACATTTGTTCCTATATATAAATCTGAAAAAAACATTTGACCCAAGATGTGAATGTTCATAATGACCAAGGAAAATAATCTACTAACTATAACCAAGATTTGATGACGATATGCACAGATATGAGCGTTCTTATTCCTACGCTCCTATCACGTGTGCAACGACGACACAGGAATATCCCCACTGTGGGATGCATAAAAGCTCCATCGTCTTAATCTCATTATTATCATTATGAGGATTATTATTATTCATATTAACTCGCCATTTGCACTACATTATGAAGTGCACGTGTACCAGCAGAATCCTAAGGCTGCATAAGGACATCAGAGCATTTGTGTGAACCATTTGCTCCTCTATGTTGGCTTTGTTGAGTCTGCTGAGCTCCAGGAAATCTCCAGAGATGGGGAGACAGATTTACACCCTGCCCCCTGAGAGGACTTTAGAGCCTGGGACCCAGCAGGACAGAGCGAGGGCCAAGAGCGCCAGTTGAAGAGCCTGGTGATGAGACAGCGCGAGGAAAAGGATAAAAGGAACAAGCAAAAGGAATAAAATACGGCTGCTGCCAAGACGGAGGGGGTAGATGTGATATCGATGGAATGTAACGTGGTTGCTATTTGCTTGCCGGCCTTCACTTCCACTTAGGTACCCTCTTTCTCTTGTGTCTTGTGTCTCTCGCCCTCAATTTATCCAGCCCACTCCCACAGACACAGAGGCAAAGGCGCACATATACAAAGAGCGACAATAAATCTGCCAGTGAGTGCTGCTGGGATAGAGACACCCAAGACAAGCCGATGCTGTGTTTGGAGAGAATGCAGATGTACCTGCCTCGGAGCAAATCATAGAACGGTCCTTCAATTCATCCTATCAGCCTGTCTCATATTCTTAACCCCTTTAAACCAGTCTACC